CAAAAGCCATCTTGTACAAAGACAGCAGATTGTGGCACACAAATCAGCACCCAGGCACTGTGTAGACAGCCACCCAAAGCCCAGCCTTGATTATACCAGCGTTGGGACAACAATGATGCCCAGCTTCTATTCATTCTTCTCAAAAAAAATTTAAAAAAATGATAATGAAGTGTTTTAGAGATCATGCTGCCACTGCGCTCCCACAAGGATTCAGAGGTACCAGAAATGCAGAGCTGGGAGGTTTCCTTGTGACACTTAGCAGCTCCAGAAAAGGCCAATTTTGGGAGTGGGATGAAGTACAGTGATGTCTCGCAAGACGAAAATATGACTATGAGTCATTTCGTATTGCAAAATTTTCATCTTGCGAAGCGCGGTTTCCCATAGGAATGCATTGAAATTTAATTAATGCATTCCTATTCATCTTGCGAAGCACGACCAAAGAAAAATTTGTCTTGCGAGTCACCAAACACAAATCACAAAACGCTTCTGTCTTGCGAGTTTTTCGTTATGCGAGGCATTCGTCTTGCGCCATGTTCGGGGTGGGGGGGAGAGAGAGAAAATTAACCCTTCCCTGGTCCCAGCACGGAGGGCTTAGAGTGAGCATTCTGAGACCTGGGGATGGCCACCCCCTCTTTTTTAAATGTAAAGAGGACCACGAGGCATCCTCGCCCTCTGCCCCCACATCACACCGCACAACATACACACAAGTACCAACAGATTCTGAAGCATGACCTTTCCCCTCCCCAGAATCCTTGCATCAGCCAGGGAAGGAGAGGAGAAGAGAGCCCTCGGGAGGTGGCCTGGAAAGCAGAGGCAGCTGTACCAGTGAAGTGGAACAGACTAGCATCGCTGCTCGCCCGCCCGCCAGCCCGCAAAGGCTGGAATGAACACCATTGTCCCACCACAAAGGCAGGGCCAGCAAAGCAAGCAGCAGGCCGATGGCGAAAGACAAGCCAAAAGCAGCCCAGCAACAAACCAACAGGGGAAGCAGAAAGGGGCCAAGGAATCAAGACTCTGCTTTCTGTATAGAGAAAGGGGGCGGGGGGGGGGAGAGTCTCAGCAAGGAGATCCTGGCCCTCATATGGAAGAAATCTGAAGGGCATGTATTTGCCCAGCTTATGTCTGAAGAATGGATTTTGATTCACAAAGGCTCACACTAAAATAAATCTGGCAGCTGTTGAAGTTCCACAATATTTTAAACCCCTCACCTTTCAGTTTTCCCACCATATAAAACTACTGTAATTAGTTAACAGGTTGTGCGGTGCCCAGAGGGTTTTACCCATGGGGTACTTTTAAAATGCAGAAGATAAATAAAGAAAAGGTATACCAAGTCTCATTTTCTCCCCCCTGGAGCCTGCTGAGGCATCAGGAAGGAAGGTGGCTGAAGCTCCTGTGATGGAGCGCCACTAACTGAAGAATACCGACATGCAAACGTCAGACTTCGGGATGAAATCAGGCTCCAGCCAGCAAAACAGGCCGAGGTTCAGATTCCAGATGCCAGCCCGGTCCCTGCAGCGTGGCCTGGCATTACCGTGGGAGAGTCAGTAGCCACAGGCAACAAAAAGGTTCAATAGAGAGGGCACAGCAGCCGGGGCCTGCAAACACTTTATCTCACTTGCTCCCTAGCATTACTTAGTTCAAACCGATTGATGGGCAACTGGTGTGGGCTGCTATGGGTCAAGTTAGGGAGACACGCTCCAAGAGAAGTCTCCAAGGCAGGAGCCAGACAAAGGAGATCCCAGGTTTGCTATGCTCTGTGCCTACGGCTAATGCCAAGCTGAGAAAAGGTGGCAAATGTTTTACTTGGCCTGCCACTTTGCCTGGACACGGCAATCAGGTCTCATCTCAGGGGGCGGGGC